ACAAGTAATAACAACAATAATCAATATCATGGTGGGTGGCGGCGGCGGTGGTAGCGGCAGGATCAGCCTGGGGCCGGTCCAAAGGCCTCGGGGGGGCGCATCCGGCCCCCGGGCCTTAGGTTACCTACCCCTGATTTAAATGCTGACTTTTTGTACATTTTCAAGGGGAAGGTGGATAAAAAGTTAATGCTGGTAACAACAACAGGGACACTGTTTCCTGCAAAACAACACCTTGCAAAATCTTGCAACTATTTTGTCTCTCTTTATCTTCCCTTCTTTCTCCAGTACATTTGCCCTAGAGAATTCACCAATGCATCACACCTATTATAATTGGATACAGATAGATGATCTTTAAACTATCTCCTGTTTTTCCCTTTAACTGGTCCATCAAGCAACTGAAATTCTTTTATCTGTTTTCCTTAATAGTCTTTCTTTAATAGTCTTCTCTATCCCTGAAGCCTCTGGGCTATCCTTTGGCACACCTAGCCAAAGAAAGAATTTTTCCTCTTACACACTTTGTTCCCTTGCTCAATTCTCTGCGCTGCTTTCATGTGACTAGATTATTTGCGGTCCTTCCAAAATTGGCCACATTCTGATGATCACACCATAGCTTAAGCCTTTTGCCTATGCATGCAGCTCTTTTGCTTCTCTAATTAAAGGGTAAGCCACTGCACCCTCCAGAGTTTTTGGGCCTACCTGCAAAGTGAATGATATGATAAAGGGTGATTGGAGTTGTAGTCCAAAGCACCTGCCCATCCCTGTTCTAATTAGATCCCTTGTTTCAGATTTAGGGGTAGACTTTTGTTTGGTACAATGATGTCCTTATTATTATCATCATCTCACCACTCTATGACCACATTGTTAAGATCTATAATTATCACACTGCCAAAGGCAGCACCATATAGAGATTTGAGATGATGAGCATGTAGACATGTTATCAATTATTCTCTCTTGTAAAATACCTTACCCACACACCTGCATACATGCATTTTAAATCCAAATGAAATGGTTACTGAGCAGAGCCTCAGTGTGACAGAACACTGGGACAGACTGATTGATCTTAAACATATGTCCACTCCAGGGAGCTTCCTCCAACTGGATCTATAGTGGGTGGTGATGCCTGGCTATAGCTCACATTCAGGCTCTCAATTATGTATCAGCTGGGTTGAAGGGGGGGATAAGCTACATCTGCAGGAGGGTGGACAAGAACAGATGAAGCATTTAGTGGACCATGATGAAGAGAAAAAGGGGAGAAAGAGAATGAGGAACATCTGAAGGAGGCACATACCTTGGAGGACTGAAAAGCAACAGACTAACTGGTGGAATGGCCTTCCTCTCATTCTTACTTCTTCTCTAAGTAGGAATGAGGGTGGGGCCATTTCACAAAGCATCTGGTCTCGCTTCCTAAAAGCCAAGTACACTAACCTGCATTCCATTTCATGCACCTATACTCCTGCCTTTCTTTTCTATATGGAGAAACTCTACTTGATTTCTCTTTAATAGTTACCAGCTCAGCCCTCATCCACATGGATACATCTGTGGGTGGATGAGGAAAACTAAATAGTGCAGGTGGAGTCTCAGAACCAGTTAGTTATGGTCTTCAGACTTCCTTCTGGAGAAACACAAATAAGTTTATTGCACACTTGTGGGACCGGGAACCGAATGGAATGGGGTGAGAACACATGTTACCAGACAGGAGAACACTGTCAATGCCACTGAGACTCCCCAAGCCATTCCCCATCTGTGGTATGGCAGCCAATTTTGAAGAATGAAGGTGCCAGAAGAAATAAAAAGTAAAAAAGCTTGCTGATTCAACTAGAAAAGAACTTGGTCATTTAGGGAATGCCTCTATTAGACCAAGTGACTACATATGATTCCTACTTACTGTATACAAGTGATGTAACTGGCTAGGGATCTGTATAGAAAAACATTATTAAATCTTACCTTGGCATCCATGTCCACAAGGAGTTCATGGAAGAAGATAGGCTTAATGCCCCCCTGCCAGGAATGACCCTTACAAAATGCTACCTTGTGTTATTTCACACATAACATATCTGTTTTTTTAAATTACTGAAATACTTGAATGGAGGATATTTTAGCAGTATTTCCAAAGGGAATTCTATTCAAAATTATAGTGCAAACCTAAATGTATTTTCTTATAAGTTTCACTGAGGTCCAAAACACACTGCAGAAATAATCCAGTTTGATTACTTTATTGTATGTCGTTTTAAACTGAATCAAGCCTCCCAGGCTGCAGCTGGGAGATGGGATGGAGGCAGGGATTATTGTAAGCTAAATCGCCGCTGAGTTGCTGGCCGCCATCAGCCCGGTCCAAGCTGGGCTCAGCTGGCACTTTTTAGAAATCGGAATGCTTTCTGGCTTCTAAAAAGTGCCGGCTGAGCCTGGCTGGGACCCAGACTGATGGCGGCCAGTGATTTGGCAACAATTTAGCTTGCGATAATCTCCACCTCCATCCTGCCTCCTGGCTGCAGCCTTGGAGGCTTGATTCAATTTAAAATGACATGCAATAAAGTCCTAAGACTGCTTTAACTGCCCTGGCTTAATGCTAGAGAATTTGGGAACTGCAGTTTTGTAAGACATTTAACCTTCTCTGTCAGAGAGCTCTGGTGACACAATAAACTGCAATTCCCAGGATTCCCTAGCACTGAGCCAGGGCAGTTAAAGCTATATCAAACTGGATTATTTCTGCAGTGTGTTTTGGACCTGAATTCAATGTGGCTTCCCAAAAACAACCTTGTCTGCACAGCTAAAAGGCCTGTCCACCACACCACAACACACCACACTCTGATTTCGTTCTTTTCAGACAACATATGGCCCAAACTGAAGTTTTGGTGTGGACAATCTGGATGGTGTTTGGTGTGTCCTGCACCAGAACTGGGGCATAACAATATTAACATGAAATAACTCACCTGTTGGTCTGGATTTTCTGGGAAGACACAGAGCCCACTGTTTCATTATCATGGTGGCTGTCTGCATTCCACCACCACCACAGGCTGCTCATTCTGCGGTTAGAATAGGCCTGCACAACATACAGCCTGGAGGCTGCATGCGGCCTGCCAAAGAATTTTGGGTGGCTCATGAGGATGTGGAACAACTTCTCCTCCTCCTGAGGAGAGTGCCATGTCAAGGAGGAGGATGCAGGGTGAATGCTCACCTGGCTTTCTCCTAAGGAGAAGGACGGGCAAACCTGCGAGGCACCTCCACTGCTTGGCTTTCTCCCAAGGAGAAGCCTGGGAGGAGTAGGGGGGCAAACACTTGCCCCTCAAGGCTGCTCTGCTGCCTGGTTTTCTCCCAAGAAGGCGGCCAAGTGGTGGAGAAGTCTCCTCCATTACTTGGTTTTCTGCTGAAGAGGAGGATGGGTGGTGAAGGAGGAAGAGGATGGGCAAACACTCACCCTGCAAGGTTCCTCCTTTGCCTGGCTTTCTCCTGAAAAGGCCGGGCAGCAGAGGAGGAAGAGGGGCAAACACTTGACCCTCAAGGCTCCTCCATCACTCAGCCATCTGCTGAGGAGAAGGCTGGGCGAAGGAGGAGAAGGACAGGCAAGGCTCCTCTGCTGCTCAGCTTTCTCCTGAGGAGTGAGGCTGGGCAGAGAATGAAGATGGTGAAATTAATATTAATTAATTAATTAATTAATTAATTAATTTTTATTTAAAACCTATCTGCAGCCCAATGAAGTTTAGCTTATTTTAATTCTGGTTCCTAACTAGTGCCAAGTTGTGCAGGTCTGGGTTAGAACAAGGTGCCCAATATGTGACAATCACAGGATGCCTCATTCTGACCTCAGAAGCAAGCAACCTGCAGCTGGTGGTGGACACACCGGGCGGCCCACCAGACAGCCACAACCGCACAGAAATAGAGGCTAAGGTAATGGGTGAAGAACTAGGCAGCTGCAGGGCCAGGATACTCTTGGCTGCCTCTAGCAATGCAGACAATGCCTAAGGAGGTTTAAGATGGAACTGTATATATCTGCACGGGTTGCCTTCTGAACATTTGTTCAGTTTTTCACTCTATAACTAAATGAGAAAATCATTCTGTCAAAGACAGACAGGAAAATAGATGGCACCTTTGTTATCTTTGCCCTTGATGAAGCTAGATAAGTGAAGTTCACATTCATTCTTGTGGACATATACCTATTAAGATCCTATTGTACAGAGATTTTATTTTTTTAAAAAAGGAGTGTATAAAAGGTTGACAAGTGATGAAGTCTTGACAGCAGATAATTCATAAGAGCCAAATGTACTTGCATACTCTATTATTTTTCAGCAACTTGAATTAGCAGCAGTCTCTTGCAGACTAAAACATGCTCAGAAAGAATATTTCAGTTGTCTGGTAATAAAATTAATTCACAGGATATGGCATATGTAATTTTCCAGATACCAAGAACATGAGCCAGATGCTTAGCATATGGATTTAGCTTTGGGAAAACTGTATGAATATCAGTTTTAACAGACATTTGTGGGTTGCATATGTGTTCTCATATTTTCTCTTGGTCTGTAGTTTTGAACCAGCATTGATTACAGAAGACACAAACAGGTACCTCAATCCAGGTCAGACTATTTGTCCATTTAGCCTAGTAATTTTTACTTTAACCAGTGAGTCTCAAAGGTATCAGGCAGTTAAGAAAAATCACCTTCTACATGTTCCTTCTGAAAAGAACTAGTACCCTCTA